GATGCATGCAGCCACTGCATGGATGCATTTGGCATGCTGCAGTACTGCTCGCCTTCCGGGCCCTCGTCTTCTTTATAGCCATGCGCCACACTAAAAGCTCAAGCGGTTCTCGCACTCCAATTCGTTTTCGTTCCAGTGTGCAGTGCAGGCCGGTGAGAAGAGGTCGAGCTAGCTAGCTAGCCTTCAGTGCGAGCGAGGGCAGGGCCCGGACGGGTCAGGAGAGAGATACGATGGGGCACCACTCCTGCTGCAACAAGCAGAAGGTCCGGCGGGGCCTGTGGTCGCCGGAGGAGGACGAGAAGCTCATCAAGTACATCACCACGCACGGCCATGGCTGCTGGAGCTCAGTCCCGAGACAAGCAGGTAGTGTACATTACACACGCGCGTGTTCATGTATAGGATATGCATATGATACATTTGTGTGGTGGTTGTTTCACACGTACGGAGTACTCCGTAGCTAGCAGCGGGAGAAAAGCAGTTCACCGTGTGCTTCTCTTCTCACTTGATTCTGTGTAATTACGTGTGCTTTCATGCAGGGCTGCAGCGGTGCGGCAAGAGCTGCAGGCTGAGGTGGATCAACTACCTGAGGCCGGACCTGAAGAGGGGAAGCTTCTCGCAGCAGGAGGAGGCCCTCATCGTTGAGCTCCACAGGGTGCTTGGGAACAGGTAATCCTATCCTACAGGCTACACGCAGATCAGATACGCATACATGTGAACCTGCTGCTTACGCAGTTCCTTTATCCGTGCATGCAACTGCCCATATACGAGTAATGCACGCATTAACTTGCTTGGGACAAAGGAAAAGGGACGCAAATGGAAAATGTAGTAGATAGCTAAACGCATGTGTGCCACTGCACTGCAGGTGGGCCCAGATCGCCAAGCACCTGCCTGGTAGAACGGACAACGAGGTGAAGAACTTCTGGAACTCCACCATCAAGAAGAAGCTCATCTCCCAGGCTGTGGGCAGCCTCCACCCCGGTAATAATAATAACACGTCCCTTCTTCACCCACACCGCAGGTAAATCCTGTGCGGTAGTACATTTTACAGTTCCTCCCACCCTCTTGCTTCGTCCCTTCGTCGCTTTGTATGTGGACTGTGGTGTCAAATTCTTTGGCTTCTATTAGGGTGCGTTTAGATCTAAAATTTTTTGGCTTTCGTTCAGATTTGACAATTAGTGTCTAATTATGTGTCGAAAGTTTACACGGCTTCCTCTTCGGACAGAAGATTCGATATATAGCAGTATCTTTGTAAAATTTTTTAGAACTAAACAGGCCTTTATTGTGTCAAAATACACGGCTTCCTCTTCGGACAGAACAAGTTAATCTGGGAACCGACACCGATGTTTTTCTGAAGAAACACAGACTGACACAAATCGAGCATGTGGCAGATGGAGCACAATTCTAACATGGTTTCACTGCAATGCTAGCTGCAGACCTGTACTACAACATTCTGGATGGAGCAGGGCAGGGCCTCGCGGCCGCCGGATGCGCGCCGCTGAACGGGGCGTCGGACAGCGCGTCAGCTCAGGCAGCGGTGGGCGTCACGCAGTCTCCTCCTCCTCCCATGCTGCACAACAACCCCGCTGCGTGGGCGGATTTCGGCTCCCAGACGCTCTTCCTCCCCGGCCACGGCGGCGGCGGCGATCTCCAGTACGCCGCCGTCGACGGGGAATTCGTCAAGCAGTGCGGCAGCGCGGCGGGCGCCTACCCGCCGGAGGACGGCGGCGGCGGCGGCGCGAGCCAGTGCAAGCCGCCAGCTGCCGATCTCGTGCCACAACAGGAAGAAGGCGCCACGGCGCGGAGCCTGATCCCGGTGTTTCTTGAACCCAAGTGCGCCGCCGGCGATTTCATGCCCGAACCGGCTATGGCTCCAGTGATGGACTTCATGGAAGCCATCCTGGCGGGGTCGTCGTCGACGTCGGCTGCCAGCGCTTCATCTCTCGACAGCTTCTCGGCGAACGCTGGCATGCAGTCTCATTGTTGGATTCCCTGAATTCATCTTACCACCTTACTTCAATTCGATAGATGGATGATTCACCATCAAGCACCAAGTATTATATCAGATATAATTAAGTATAGAATTTATGAAATAATTAATATAGATTTAGGTTTCTCTCAGGGGTAGTAACAACATAAGTTACATGTAAATATGTTTACGTATATAACGTTAATGTGTAGTGAAGGTAAGCATATATATAAGTGGGTGTCGATCACGTGCCAAGAAGGAATAGTACTTGAAACTCCTTTACAGCTATTTGTAGTGTGCATGTTATTGAACATGGATGCGCGGCTAGAGATTCTTATATTATTCATGACAATGTACCTCTTTTTTACATGCATATGAATGGTGCACACACTATATACATTCTTTTTAGAGAGCTGTTATATATTTTAGGTTCTTTAATTTTTCTAGGAACAATTTTATACGATCAACTTGTATAATTAAAAGGACAACTAACAAGAGACAATCCACAATTTTCTTCCATATATCTACATATGTTAACTGAACAAAAACAACAAAATCACGCACCTAATATATAGGAGAAGTGTTATCTTTACTTGCCTAGTGGCATACTTCGGCTGAAATCTGAAAATTGTTGCAACAAGGTTCCATGAGTCTAGCTAGCATCAACTAGTTTGGATAGCGATGGCCAAATCAAAAATTACATCAGGCAATGAATTTTTTTTCGCGGCCATGCCGAGGCATATTTTTCATTAAGCAGAAGTAGAGTTTAACAATACAAAGCTTGGACTGTAATTGGTGATCATTACCTAGCCAAGACATCCCCTAAGATCCCTTGGTTATGATTACAAATAAACTACTAGGCAATAACGTTAAGCTACTAGCACGACAGTAAACAACAAAGTAGGCCCTAAATCAAGCGAGCTAAAGGGCATCGTCCTCCAACCCAGTGAAATCTAGCTCCATGGCCACACGATCAGAAAATAGCGCTTGAAGGTGCCTCATGCTTGGAGGCCCACAACGGAGCAACCAAGATGGCCTTAAACCTGTCAAAAACCTTTTGTGTCCAGTCTCTACGTGCGCATGCAAGAGTTAGAAAAGCAGTTAGGCCTAAATTTATCCAGGCATATCAAAAAAAAGGGTGGATGCATTTTTTTTCTAGGAAATGGAAAACTAGAGGGTTTCTCTAGCCCCTTCTTCCACGCAAGGTTTGCCAAGTCAAACAAATATCTCAACAACCTTTATCGCCAAACTAGAGGGGCAATCGCATCTTTTCCACCGCCTACGTGCGTCTGTTTTAGGTAATAGCAAAAAGTCAGGAAACTTCTGTGCGTCTGTAGAAATTTCATCAATGGAGATTGGACAGCCGACAACATGTCTGTCCTTGAGAAAAGTGGGAGCCCACATGCACTCCACAAGTCTACGTGTCCAGCGACAGAGAGCAACAGGTCGATCACGAGATCAAATCACCCCTTGCACAGAAGCTCAGAGGCCGCCTCAAATCGTGAAAAGCTTGCACTGCTTGCGTTGCGAGCAGAAAGTATGCAGAAAACATAGCGCGTCATTGAAGTTCGGCCTTCCTGTTTTCGTTACGCACGTCCGGGTCTCTCGCGTCACCATCACTGCACGAACGCAGCGGTTCGGCGTGGCGCGGCTACGGCGCTACGAGCCTCGTGTGCCCCCGTGACGCGCCCTGCGACCACACCCAGATAGGCGGACCGCGGACACCAGCGGGCAGGCCGCCACACCCGTGCGGGCGTGCGGGCGTGCCGTCCCGATTTCCCCAACAAACCTTTGTTCTCGGGACGGGACAGGCGCCCGTGTTGCCGCTGGCAAAGCCGCCACGGCCCAGCCGCCGACGGGCTACCCGAACCAGATGCGATATGCACGCAAAGGGGAAAAAAGTTCAATTTACATCCTCAACTATCATGGTCCTCCGATTTTTCCTCCCCGATCCACCAAACCAGTTTTTTTAATCTCCTCAACTTTTGAAAACCATTCATTTTTGCACCTTAAGCGCTTTTGATGGTGGTTTTGCTAACGTGGCATCACGTCAAATGAGGAAAATCGGACTAAATTGAATGTTGAAGGTGACAAATTGAACTATAATTTTTATAAAAATATCTAAAATTTTATTTTAAAAATAGAAATTGTACCAATATATTTTTGCATGAAAATATAATGCAATTAAAAATCCTAAATTTTGGTTGAATGAATTTTTGAATTATTTATAAAAATATTTCTAGTCTAATTTATCTTCTTGAACTTTCAACTTCTGATTTACCTCTTCTAACGTGGCGCCACATCAGCAAAGCCGCCATCAAAATTGCCAAGGTGCAAAAGTAAAAGGTTTTCAAAATTTGAGAAAAAATTAAAAAAATAGTTGAAAAAAATTAAAAATATATATATATTTTTTTTATTCAAGGTGCTCTTTATTACTCATTAGTGCCAGCCAAATCGCTGGTCACCATAGCCTCAATCTCATGAGGAGATCAGGGATGAAAAGAAAACGACCACGATAGTTTTTAAATTGGACTTTTTCCTTATCCAAATGACACGGCCGCCGCCCGGTGGTTGTGGTTTGGCCCCATGGGGAGAGGCTGCTGGCAGCAAGAGGGCGACTCATTTTCTGAGCCGATTTTGCTTGGTTTTGATGTTACGGGCCCAAAAAACAGTTTTTCGGACATTGGGGCCTGGGCTATACTTGTTTGTTTTCATAATACGGCCAGGAGCACATGACAATTGACACACGTGACAGCAGCTTGCAGCTGAGAGCATGTGTGTGTTGGGGGCAACAGGGCCAACGAATGTCGGGAACATGATGGAGCGGTACAGAGCCATGCATATGCATTGAGAACGGGCGGGGCACGTACATACCACGTACCAAAGAAAAACAGCGTGAAATTCATGCACAACGGCAGCACAGATCACGGCCGGGCCGACCGGTAAACAGTAGGCTCCGGTCACATCGCTCGCACTACGGACACAAAATGATCGAAGAACAAGTGGTCAGTGGTGGCGCCGGCCCGTGGTTCGTTCAGTGCAGCATGTGCACCTCGTCGGGGGTGAGCGGCTCCACCTCGCAGGCCGAAATGCCCTCGCTGGGCAGCTTGGGGAAGCCCTTGAGCGTGCAGGCCTCCTCGCAGCTCTTGGTGCAGGCGTTCTCCCGGCACTTGCCCGCGCACTGGCCCATGCTCGGGACCCGCGTCCGCATGCACAGCTTCATGCACTCGCAGATGCAGTTCTGCCCGGCCTCCGCGCGCGGCACCGCGGCCAGCGCCAGCGTCAGCGCCACCACGGCGAGCACCATCATCGCCGCCGCCGCCGCTGCCCTCGCCATGTCGGCCGCGCCCGCGCGCGTTTTTCCTCGGGCAATAATTTTCCGACGACGTACGTACGCAAACGCACGCGGCTCCCGGACGGCCCCTGTAGGTCAGGTCTGGGCGTTGGCTTTCAAGGGTCGATGTGATGTGTGCATGCGAGATGTCTCGGGTCCGTAGCCAGCTAGGTTCCACTGTTTAATTGGCTATAGTTGCACCGGTCGGCCTTGAAACCAGGCAACCCCGTTGGTTAATCACGGGATCACTAATAATAGCTTGTGTTTCTGGGGTAAAAATGATGAAATACCGTACGTACGGTGCGGTCACTGTAGCAATCTTCGTAATGCTCTTGCTAGAGCACAGTATTAATTCTCAGCGGTACGTACCATGCATGAGAGGAGTACTGACTGCAGTACAGACATAATAATAAGAGTTAAATGCATGTGCCCTTGAACTTTTAAGCGTGTATCCATGAACTTTGAAAAGATATTTTAAACCCCTAAACTTGTTAAAGTGATACACCGCAGGTCCATGCCACGCATGTGGACATTTTTACTAACATGGCATTACTAGAGTGGCATGTATTTTTTCATTTAACCCCTCAGATTTATTTTTGTTTTAAAAAAAGAGACTCCTTTCTCTCTCTCTCACCTTCCATGTCCAGTGCCCTGTGGTCCAGTGCCAGCTCCACGTCGACATGCACGTTCACGGCCCCCAGCCCGAGGTCGGCCATCAACCGCAGCGCCGCCTCGGGAACGACCTCTCGTCCAGGAAGTAGAGCACTCCAGCACCGTCGGCACCTTGTCGTGGTGAGCAGGGACGAGCTAGAGCGCATCGCCGCGGGCGTCACGCAGAGGCAGTATAGCGGAGCCGGATCTGCGCCGAGTCGCCGGCATATAGTCACGGCCGTGTCGCTGGAAGGGCAGGTGGCCGCGCGCCCCCCACGCTTGGAGCCGGAGGAAGGCGCGGGCGTGCGGCTGGCGATGGTCCATGCTGGCCTGTCTGTGCACGCCAATCTGCCTTGTTTTGCCCGGCCTCAGCGGTAATGACGGGGCACTGAAGGCGACGCCAGAGACAACCTAGAGCCCCCTCTTGCGTGTCCAGGCCTCATCATGCATGTTGCGTGTTCACATCCCGCCGCGGCCCGGCCCGGGCCTCGTCCGTCGCGCCTCGTGTAGCACATGTGAGTACTGAAATATTCGGCCACTGTTGTTCACGCTACACACGGATGCTAGCTGCAGGCAAGGTTGAGGAATGGCAAGCCTTTCAACTTTCATGGGTTCCGGCTGACGGCGGCGGAGGTGTTGTCGGCCATCCCGGCATCGGCCCGTTAAGCTGTTGCTGTGCGCCAGCTGCTCCTTCCCTACGGCGACACCAATCGCGGACGGAGAGGTACAGGTGCTTGCCTGCCGCCAGCATCTCCACCGTTTGCCGTGACGTCAGGATCTCCGTCGTCAACGCCCACGTCGTCGCCATCCTTAGCTCGTCGGCCTCCACAAGCAGTCGCGACAGCGCGGCCTTGTAGCTGTCCAGCGCCGCGTCCACCTCGGCGTCCGCCCCGGCGCAGGTTCCACGAGCAGCGTCGAGCGGTGCCGCCATAGCCGCCGCTGCCGTGGCAAGCTCGCCACGCTGCCTCACGATGGGCAGGAGCGTGCGGTTGGCAATGTCCTCCTACAGGGTGGCGAGCTGATCCGACAGGGCGCTCTCCCCTGTCCTCCCGCAACAGCGCGCGCCTGCGGGTGGCATAGTCGCGTTACGCGAGCATGCACCGCTCCACCACGGTCCGCAGCTCGGCCTTTGCTCGCTCGCAGTCACAGCGACGACGGCAGATGGCGCTCTACGCTTCCTTTGGTATGCCGTCTAGCGCAGGCAGCCAGTCGCCGCGCCGCGCTACGCCCACGCCCTCCCTCGGCTCCGAGCGTGGGCGGCTAATGGACGACCTGGGGCTTGGGACCGTGTACGTGCATGTTGACAACTCGACATAGAGCTAGCGCTGGACCACAGGGCGTTGGCCATGAGAGGTGGGAGAGAAGGTAGTGTCTCTTATTTAGGAGAAAAATAAAACTAAGGGGTTAAATAAAAAATACATGCCACTCTAGCATGCCACATCAGAAAAAAAAATCCACAATGGCTGGTATGGGCCTGTAGTATATCACTTAACAAGTTTAAGGACCTAGAAATACATTTTCAAAGTTCATATACCTATAGGACACACGCTTAAAAGTTTGAGGACCTCTGATGCATTTAACTCTAATAATAGTGCTGGCCCAGTCTCATTATTGAACGTGGCACCAGCAGGACGAGGGTGAAAAGAGAACACGAGGGCTGGACCATCCTGCAGGCTTATGACACGATGGTTCCGTTCGGCTTATCCAAAAGTCGGTTTGTTCGGCTTTTTTTTTTCAGCTGAAACAGTGTTTTTCTCTCACAACAATTCAGCCAGAACTGTATTTTTTTTTAGCCAAATTTCAGCGAGCTGCGAAAATAAAATGTACAGTAAGATGGCTCCAATGGAACGTTTGAATGTGGTAAAGTTTTGTCAAATTAATCTCATCCGATCAGCATGTAACTGTCATCAGCGCTAGTCTACGGCAGCTCGCTCTTTACGCGCGCGTTAACTCGACACCTTTTGATGCCATGTCAGCTTTTGAGCGCTAGTGATGTATGCCACAGTGCTACTGCTGTACAAATCAACAGAACCGCGTGGGCGTGGATTAGGTCCGGGACCGGGCGTGCCCGGCCAAGGCCAAAAGCCGCCGACCGTGCATGCATGGTCCTGGTCTTGGTCCGCAGGCGTCGGCAGCGGCTCGGCGCCATTGAGACGCGCCAACGTCGCGCCCGACGCGAACGCGATCGACAGGCTTCATCAGCTCCGCCTCTAGCGCCCGCGCCGCGCTGCCCTGCCGGCTGCCACTCGGACCGACACTTCAAAATAGCCTTTTTAATTTTCGTCGCGCGGCACGCCGGTGTATCTGACGCCAACGCCACAGCTGCGTCGTCGATCCGTTCGTCCGGAGTCCGGACCCCTGCCCTGCCGCCTGCCGCGGACCGATCGATATACTCCTACTCACCGGCCCCGGTCTCACATGAGGTCTGAAAAGGGGTCACATGGCGCTGCACTGGGCCGGCGCGACCACCGCCGTGCACATCGATCGGCTGGCCTCTGAATCCCAATTATGTGATCCGCACGTACAACCGATCGGCGCTACATACATGCGTTATGCGTGCGCCCCCACTCAGACCACGTACTGCTCCATTATTCTGCCATCGAGCGTACTAAACGATACCGTCCTCTTCGTGCCTGTCCTCGTCTCTCGCCTCATGGGCAATACGTACTCCTATACTTGAATAAAAAAGGGTAACACTCCTATCCTATACTTTAATTAGTTTGACAAACGAATACACAAATCACAAATGTATTTTTCGGATGCTGCATCAACGTTGCCGTCCTGCTGACGAACTAACGTACGGTAGCCCCACTCGCGCGCAGAGTGTCGTAAATGCTGGAACGGGGACACTTCTCTCTTTTTTTTAAAAAAAGTGGGACACTTTTTTAACATATTTGTAAATGCAAGTTGAGTTTTGGTCTTAAGACTTTTGTGCATGCCCACAGCACCATGTCCCCACCTACTATATACATGTATATATTTTTAACTTTTTCCAAGCATTTTGAGCATTATGGATTTCACAGTTTGTAAAACACATTTTCGGTTTTGATATGACTTGTCCCAACCGTGATGTGCCGCAAGTTCTACCGCTCACTCTCTTTCAAACTACAATTCACTAAGTCATACTATATTTCTCTCACAACGAATCAGCTTCAGCTTATCAGCCTAGCTTATCAGGCATAGAACAATGTTTCTCTCTCACAACAAATCAGCTTCAGCCGGTTTATCGACCACAGAAAACATTAGCCGATTATGTATACTAAGTCAAACTTTTCCAATCTAGATAAGTTTATAGAAATATTTACTACACGTTAATGAAACATACAAATATGTCTTGATACTATACTAATTTGAACTTGTAAATATTAATGTATTCTTCTATACACTTGGTTAAAGTCAGAGTAATCTAACTTAAAATAAATTGAAGTAAATTATAATTTGGATTGAAAAGAGTAGTATCATGGATGTGTGCTCCGTACTCTACATTGTTATTCGAACGTATGGTACGACTCTTTAGTCAACCAAACCGACACTGCAATTGAGAATGGCTGATTACATCGGCTGGTGGTAAAAAGTGTGTCCACATATAAAAAAGCGAAGACCCTGAGTCTACTGAACAGGCATCGGTCAAGGAAAGGCTCTCTCTCTAGTTTAAAAAAATGGCTCTCTAGCTAATCCCAAAGTTAACAAATCATTGGATGCATTCAGTGGTTTAGGTTTCAAGTTCCAAATGGGCGATTTAATCATCAAATGACGACACAACCGCATTTGGCTCACCCTACACGTAAAGCGGGCCCGGCCTTGAAATCCATAAAGAACGCGCGCCCAGCCCATTTGGCTATTTCAGGGCTGGTTTAGATTGTAAGTTTTTTCACATTTTTTTCGTCACATCAAATTTTTAGACATATGTATAGAGTATTAAATATAGATGAAAAAAAATAACTAATTATATAGTTTAATAATAAATTACGAGACAAATCTTTTAAACCTAGTTAGATCATGATTGATAATAATTATCAAATACAAATAAAAATGCAATACAGTACCAAATACTGATTGCTAACCCAAACCTATACGAGGCGTCAGTCCATTTCCACCTCCCTCCCCAAGTCCCCACCCCCCTCCCCGTCACCACCGCCGCTTCCTTCCTTCCTTCCTTCGTCCGTACACCTCTCTCTCCCTCTTCCCCTCTTCACCGCTCCTCCCGCACGCCATCCCCGGGACAAGGCGGCAGGCAAATAACCTCTCTCCGGCGACGAGGCCGATGGAGTCGACCTCCGGCGAGGACGCTATGAAGCGCAACCCGCTCCCGGCCGCGCTCGTCTCCAACCTCCAGTCCGTGCTCGCCGCACGCCGCACGCCCGCGGCCGAGGTCAGCACCGCCGCCGCAGCCGGCGAGGCTGAGGCGGAGGCTTCCGATGCCCCCGCGGGAGATGGTGCGCCGGCGAGGCCCATCGTGCTGCTGACCTGTGCCGGGGGGATCCGGTCGGCGGGTCTCGCGGCGCTCGTCGACGCCCTCGTTGCCGGTGGCCGCTGCGACGTCCACGTGTGTGCCCCCGAATCGTACGTGCTGCAATCCGAAAACCCAGGCGTCTTAATTTCCCCTTACATTGCTCTCATGATCGCAAAATATTGTTTGCTTCCATTGGATTTGTTGGGAGATTAAGTAGTCCCGATTTGGGACGCCCTGTTTGCTGCCATTACATAGTGATTTTGTTGCCATTTGCCTGTGATTGTGTAGCTGAACTGATATGCGACCCTTTGTTTATTTGAAGGGACAAGCCAGCCTGCGGCCACTCAATTACCATCCGTGAAACCATCACCGCGACATCCGTGGATTTCACAGGTGCTAAAGCTTTTGAGATATCAGGTGAGGGCCGTTCATTTAATTGTGCGCAATTTGGGTCACGCATTCCTGAGCCCGGTGATCCCAATATTTTATCTTTGCTGACTTTGATCGTTGCAAACTTAGGCACGCCGGTTGACTGTGTCTCATTGGCCTTATCTGGGAGGCTGTTTCCATGGTCGTCTCCTGCTTTGGTACCGTGCTTGTTTATTCTTTCGGAATTGGATTTCCAAATGTTACTATCATGATGGTAATTTGATTTGTGGTTTTAAAAATAACAACTTAAATTTGTTTATACAGGTGATCAGCGGTATCAACACAGGACCAAATTGTGGATATGAGATGTATGCTCTTATTTCAGAAATGGTTTATTTACTGTCCATTTTCTATTTTATTATTGATTCATTTTAGAACTCTATAGGTTCCACTCTTCTGCCATTGCTGCTGCAAGGGAGGCCTTAGTGTATGGGGTGCCTTCAATTGCAATCTCATTGAATTGGTGAGATGCTCCTACCTGTATTGAATTTATATTTCAAATTTTCTACATCATTAATGTGGCTGGTCTATGATAATAACAATACGTGATGGGTATATGTGACTAGGAAGAAGGATGAAACCAAAGACAGTGACTTCAAGGATGCAGCTCAGGCCTGTTTACCATTGATAAATGCTGCCTTGGATGACATTGTGAAAGGAACTTTCCTCAGAGGATGCCTACTGAATATTGGAGTTCCAAGTGCACCATCTGCAAATAAGGTCATTTTCTCAATGATACTCTGAATCTTAAACTCCACTTTAGAGGGAATGGTTACACCAAAGCTCTAGGATTACGTGAACTCATTTGGTTATTGTACTTTGGCACTTAGTTAAAATCATATCTTGGGCCCACCACTGTGACTGGCTAGAGCAAGAAGTTGCAATTATAAGATCGGCTAAGCATCATATACTGCTTCAATTTCCTCACTATTACTTAGGACTTACCTCACTTGTTATATCGACTTAAAACATTATAATAATCATGTGGATCTATCTGACATCTTGGCTCTGAACTTCCTTGAGTACCATGTTGCCATGTATGCTGTAGC